ATATATGCAAGTCTATCAAATAAAAAATTTAGGAAAATGCTAGACGTACTCCAGCCCCTACTACACGGTTTACTTCCTAGCTGACGTGGCAGTGAATTTTGAAAATGGTCAACAAAGCAATAAAAAAAAAAGTCAGAAAAACCCAATTAAAAGGCGCCTCTCCTCAACCCTTCGCCATTTTTCCCTCCCCTCCGCAGTGAAGACGAAACCGACGAAAATGGAGCCACCTGAAAACTCAGTCGACCTGACCGGCGACTTGGACGACGGCGACCACCACACGTCGGCGAACCATTTAATTTCCCCCCTCCACACTGACGCCGCGAAGTTAGCTGACGGAGATGCAGGGGAAGCCGGCCAGTCCCACTCCAACAAATGAGACGCCGGCGACTACAGGGGTAAGTTATCAATTTAATCGTCCTTATATGGCCATGAGTGGGGAGCTTAACTTGTGGATTGGGCTGATTATTGAATGTGTTGTGAAGTGCACTGTGGCGATGGTTGTTGCGGTGGGGTGGGCTCGAGGTGGTGATGGTGATGGTTGTTGCGGTGGGGTAGGCTGGAGGTTTTAATCACCAATACTACTAATAGGTGGCAGGACTGGGAATTTCTACCTGTTACAAGTTGGTTCTTGAGGTTTGTTCTGCAATAAGGAGTGTGCTAATGCCAAGGTTCTTGCAGTGGCCTGATGAGAATGGAATGGAGGAGATTAAAAGGGAGTTCGAATTTGTTTCGGGGATACCAAGTGTGGGTGGTGCAATTTACACAACACATGTTCCGATCATTGCTCCAAAGGATAACGTGGCAGCTTATTTTAACAAGAGGCATACATAGAGGAATCAGAAGACTTGTTACACGATTACAGTTCAAGGTGCAGTTGATCCTAGGGGAGTTTTTACTGACATTTGTATTGGTTGGCCTGGTTCATTGACTGATGATCAGGTGTTGGAAAAGTTGGCCTGCTTCTAAACTGCTGTGGCTTTGCAGAGATTGCTGTGGCTTCGTTCAGTGGTATCTCATTTACTATGGCAATGGGAAGAAAACATCGCAAAGACATTTGTATTGGTTGGCCTGGTTCATTAAGTGCTGTTGGTGTTGGTACTCCTATAAAGCTCGTTCTATTGTGAACAAGCATTTCAATTTGGAGTAGAGTGCCTGGATTAAATCACTTGTGTATTGTGATTGGTTGCTTTGGACCACTCCCATGGTCTCGGTGGGTGAAGTGAAGACAATCAATAGATGCCTTACTGCTTTGTGTTGTTTAGGTTAAAATGTGACTTTTAGTAGCTTTTGAAGTTCGAAAATATTCAGCTTGTACAGTTGTATTGAATCAGTTTTGCATTTATTCTTCATGTAAATTTGTTATGAAGAAAGTTAGATAATGATTCCATTTTTCTGTATTTATGGAACTTTCATTGTACAATTCTTTTACACGGTTGAATGAATATTTTTCTCAGCCTCCTCTTTATTGTTCAATATCAGAATTTTGTCATTACGAATCTAATAATAACTGTATTCCAGGAGACACCATCTCCAATAACTTGCATACAAGCTTTTTGATCAACACTTGCAATTATAACACCCATGCACAACTCAAAGCCAAGTTTGATCTAATGTTTCAAAAACAATAAAACAAGAGCGAATGTTCCAAAAACAAGTGCAAGTCTACTTGTTCGAACTTGTTAATATAACATATAAGTCATGATCAAATAACACATCATGATTACAATGAAGTTCTTACACCACAAACAATTACTGTCAACAATGTCTTAAGAAATAACAGAGGATGATCTGGCTGGTTTTGCTGGGAACGTGAGTTGCGGAAGTTAACTGATCTGGTGCCTTTGCTGGTCTTGCTGGTTTTGGTAAGTGGAGATTAATATTCCAACAAGTACCAACACCAACAACAATTAGCTTAACACCGGCTGAGTCAAATCCTTCTGTTGATTCTTCAAGGGACTCCACAAGTTCCCAGCTAAAAGATGCAATGAAAACAAGCATATCAAAACATTGAAAATCTTGAATTTATTTATTATAAGGAAGTTAATAGGGTGAAATGATTCGTGGTTTACCAGCAAAAAATCCAAAATGTTGCAACAGTGCAACAAAAGCCATTCTCTAAAATATCCAAAATAGCTGGAGTGGATGCTCGATTCCAGAAATGGTTCTTGGACTAGGAAGATCGATTTATTCAGCTCAACCTTCAACGTTATCATTTTCAGAATCCACAAACAAAACATCTTCCATGTTCTCCTCCTGCAAAACATAAACACTCACGCATTATTTATGAACAAAAAAAATGAACTGATGATAAAACGAAAAAAATGGCATTCATATAGCTTTCATATATTTTTAACTTTGGCAGATACAATGTGAAGATATCAACAACTGGAGACAAATCAAAACTTCCAAAGTCATTGCAGTAACTTATATAGAAAGTAGAGGATACAAAAAGGGGCAACACTGGACTCCATCTTCTGGAAGGAACTGAAAACAAACAGTGTCGAATTTCCTAACCCGGATTTGCTTATACGGACGAGTAGTGAGCAAAGAATCAGCAATTTCTACTTATGGCAACGAAGTTCCTAACCTAGATTTGCCTAGTACCGTGTTTACACAGAACCCATTTACGATACCATTTCAAACGTAAGGCAAAAATAAGCAGCACATAGTGTCGAGAAAGTACCTAAAGTCACAGCGATCGAATCTGTAGAGTTTCCATCTTCCATTGTTCTTGCGCCGACGAATGAGAAACAAAAATGAGAAAAGAGATAGTGTCGTGCTTGAAGAACTTCTAATCGCCTGGAAGTGCTATTCGCCGGGAATTCGCCGGTCGCCGGCCAGGTCGCCTGAGTTTTCACCTGCACCCATTGAATCGCCTGGAATGAGCTTCGCTGTGGAGGAGACGGAAATGGACGAGATTTGAAGAAAGGCGCCTTCTTTTGGGTTTTTGTCCTTTTTTATTTTTTTATTTTTATTTTAATTGCTGTGTTGACCAATTCAAACTCCACGCCACGTCAGCAGAAAGTCATCCTTGTAGTAAGGCGTGGAGTACTTCTAGCACCTCCCAAAAATTTATTTCTGATCCTAATGTTTTTGGTATTCATGTATTTTCTTTAATATATTTTTCAA